CACACACACAAGATGTAACTTTAGCAAAAGCGTGTGAGTATTTTTATAGTCAAATGTACTTAAACTCTAATATTAAAAACAAAACATTGTAAAAGACACGTGATTATTACTGCATAAGCAACATTTTGCAAATATTTCCGTAAATATACTTTACTTTACTTTCCATAACTGCTTGATTTTATTCAAAAATGCAGAGTGCATTAGCATTCATTTTTCTCCCACCTGCTATGAACCAGACAAAAGTGAAGAGGTGCAGGAAGGCCATGCAGGCCGAGATCAGGATGCAGGCGGCCCCGTCCTGGTAGGCGCCTCTGCTGTAGGTTATGGACAGAGACAGGATGCTGGTTGCTCCCAGCACTATCAGGTAAATGGGGATGTTGGGCTGCACATGGCAGCGGCCCAGATGAGTGGCGCCTATGATGCAGCAGAACAACCGCATAAGATAGAATCACACTGAGTGTTGCATTCACGAAACATCACAAAATGAACGCTGTGGTTCTGGCAGGAGAGTAAACCTACCGAGTCCAATGGCTGCTATCATCACCATCCACCAGATAATGTTCACCACAACTACAAAAACACAAAGAGGCACAGGGTGAGTGGTTGGTCTGGCACTAAAACCGGTTAAGTAATGCAAAAGCAAGAACATAACAGAGAGTCTTACCAACTGTTGAAATCAGCGCGGGTGTTTGAGGTTTGGACTCCATCTGTGGAAATGAGTTAATATCTACAGTAAGAGTCCAAATTATACACAGGCATCAATAATAAGAGGACCTGCAGCAAAAGTGCTCCACCGTACCTGTCCGGCTGCGATTGGAGGCACTTAAAAAGCCCTTTTCTTCTTCCAGAGCTCACTAAACGAAGGGGGAACTGTGCACGGGTTAAAGTGACAGCTTCGTTGACATCCTCTGCTGTTGTTAGCAGGATGTTAAGACACACGGTTACAAACACTTCAACAACTGTTGTGCAACACTCTGCGTTTAACTAAGAGGAAACAATGATAAAATCAGTTAGTGTTATCTGATATACAAAAAAATGACACGCAAAGTGTGCTTTAAGGGACACACTAGTTGCACGGTGCTCTTCTCCTGTAAAGCACAATCTGCTGAAATGTACAATTTTGTTATTTATCCGACATAATCAATACATCTTAACTGCACGGAGCAGCACGGGAGCCTAATCAATGTAACCCAGCACAGGACAGAGTGAGTGGTGCACTTGCAGTTACTCACAGGAGGAAAAAAAAAACGATATTATCAGCTACTATCAGTGTAAGTAAATAAACCGCACACTTTCCTCACACAATCTGCTGACTAATATTAGGACAGATGATTTGGTAGAGTGCTGATTATCTCCTGTGGCAAAATACTGCATAGAGACCCAGTTTGAAGTTTGTGGCAGCAGTTGATAACTTAGTGTTACAGGTCTTTATAAGTGGAAGACCAAATCCAGAAATGAAGCATTAATGGTTAAAGCTTGGGTTCGCGTCCCAGTAAAGGCACCTGGGATCTTTCTGCGTGGAGTCTCCATGTTCTCCCTGTGCAGCATGGGTTCTGTCCGGGTTCTCTGGCTTCCTCCCACAGTCCAGAAACATGTTGAGGTTAATTGGTGATTCTAAATTGTCCATAGGTGTGAATGTGAGTGTGCTTGGTTGTCTGTCTCTAAGTGTAGCCCTGTGATAGACTGGTTACCTGTCCAGGTGAACCTGCCTTCACCCTGAGTCAGCTGGGATAGACTCCAGCCCCCCTAGTGAGGATTAAGCGGTGTATAGATAATGGATGGATGGATCAGATTAGGTCCCAGTGGGGATTTGAGGTCATCCTTTCTTGCAAACCTCTAAAACGCAAGCAGTTTGTGGGTGTGTTACATTCTTACTCACTCATTTGTTTCCCAGCTACGTTCATCGATGTAATTACACTCCCCAAGACCTACAAACAAGCCCTGACGTGTAAAATCATCAGAGTTTCTTTTAATGTGCATGAGCATGTTTCAAAGTGTTGAGCAGAATTATAAGAATAAAATCTAAAAGTAACGTGAAACTGTGCCAAGACGGTGAAGCTGAGGTGAAATTAGCTTTCACGAGGAACGCGGCTTCAGTTCTGCAAACGACACAGAAACAGCAGGGTGACAGTTGCAGTGGGTCGGTGATGCAAAGGGTGAAGCTGGCCAACGGCGCACACACCGACGAGCCAGAGCAGGATGTCAGTGCCAACAGGACTTGATGCCATGTGGCTCTGCAGCAGCACTGCCACCCTGTGACAAACACGACTGCTTACATCAAGTCCTGGATTAAATACGACTCCTGACAGCTGCTCAAAGAGACAAAAAACAACAACGAAAAATACCTGTGACGATAAAGTCTGCAAACCTCAGAATCAGCTCAGGTGTTGTTCATTTCCCCAGATGGACTGCTACCGTGTTGTTGTTAACTTGGCTTGGCCTGGTGAATTAAGCTCACAACAGAAATCATGACACACTTCAGAAGTTTCTACAGCAGTTTATTACTGCACAAAACCTCACATGCTGCCATTTCTGATGTATTTTTTAATGTGACATTTATTCTGTTCAGGGCGTCTTTTGACACTCTGACAAGTTTCATCCCAGGTTTAATTAAAGTCATGTTCTTCTCGGTGAGGTTCAGTCTGAGCTACGACTCCAATCTGGCTCAGACATTAGCAGTAAAACGTTTTATCATCTTCTTTGCCAGTGACGTGTATTTCAAACCTGACTTGCTATGGATTTGATCAGTGGCCTGCCTTCTCTGTTTGACCTGTTTTATTTGGAAGTCAATGATCATCTGAATCATCGGAGCAGCGGGGAAGTCCATGCAGATGATTCCGAAGCGAAGGTTCTGGCCCGCCTTAGATTTCAGGTAGTTGTACAGCTGTGGATTGACGCACTGTGCGACGGCTCTGGGATGTGCAAACACACCGGCGCCGCTGCTGAAGGTGAGAAAAATCTGTGCCTTGTTTCCAGTCGGTGCAGCCTCCAGGTGGTTATAGACACTCTGCCATTTACTCTCCACATGCATCAGCGTGGGCACCTGTAGGAAGCAGTGAAGGCTTCGTCACTCAAATGCATGAAAACAGAAAAATATTTGAAGCATCACAAGGTGTCTCATAAATTACACTCGAGGATGATGTTAGATCAATACACACTGTGAACTGCCTGTGTTTATCTGAGCAAATAATTGTTGTTTTATGATTTTCCCTGTTTTGTTCATTTACAGATAGAAACTAGTGAACTCAGAAAAAAAAAATCATTTACATGTTGGCTGAAAAAAATAAAATAAAAAAGGCCTAAACTGTGAATAATGTCCACATCAAAAATCAGCACTTTTACAAATCGTGTAACTGTAAAATTACACAGCTTTACTGTAATAAATGAGCTAAAAACAATTATTCTAAAACACTTCCACAGTTTTTACAGTTTTTGAATGTTGTAGTATCCACCGTTTTTTAAAGTTTTTTTTTTGGCACCCTTGCTTTCAGGTTTTCACTTTTTCTACAGTGTAGGACAACATATTGAAAAATATATCCTCAGTTATAGTAAAAACATGTTCACTGATCTTGGCTGTAGTTGATGTAACTGATAGCTGCCGACTAACCAGCCTGGAACTGACAAGGGCTGTCTGTTTATATGTGTGTTTTTCAGGTTGTTAGGATGAAAAAGAATGAAAGATCTAGTTCAAAACCAGTTTACCATCGGGTTAATACACTTTAATTATCCATAAAAAGTAGAAAAAAAACAGAATGACTTTTCATACCTTCCAGTCATCAGCTATGTCCATCGAACCGTAGCGCATCCCCAGGTCTGGTCCGGAAAATTCTTGCATGACGATGAGCTTCCCTCTGGCCTCACCCATGGTCGGCACAAGTCGGCTGTGCCACAACAGGTCCCAGTGAGCGTAGCGATGGATGTAGTCTACCACAGCTCCATAGATGTCGCCCGTCTCACTGAACTCCTCCCTCAAACGCATCAGCACCGTCTCGCTCGGGTACTCTTGAAGGAAATCAACCACACCCTCCAGGACATGGCCGAAGTGCGCCCGCTGGTAGGACACCCCGTGGTGGATGGTGAGGTTCCCCTTGACGTGACGCACACGGATGTCTAGGAAGCGAACGCCGGCACGGAGCTGGGAGGCCAGGGTCCAGGTCTGGCACTCGGCGTACACGCCTCCAAACAGGGACATGGTGTTGTGCGTCCCGGGCATGGTGACCTCAGACAGCGGCTGGTCATCGGGGATGCTGGACATCCAGGACGGGTTGAGGAACTCCGGGTTGGGTGTGTCATCATAATCAGGTCCCTGAACTGCACCGTAACACAAAGCTACGACCCTAAAAACCACACAGATTAGAGATAAAGTTTATCTGTCAGACTGCAAATGTGCCAGGTTTTACGATATGTTTTATTCTTTTTTCAGAGAAGGTTGGAGATGTAGGAGCTTTATAGCCTGTTCAGAATATATCAGTACATTCATCTTTCCAGGTTTGTCCAAATAAAGAAGAAATAGTCTGTAAAAAAATGACTTCCACAAGTGTTTAACATATTAAATTACTGCAGTAAATAATATGAAATAAAATGTAAATCTAGATTCCAGAGCTGATTTGTACAGTGGATCTGAGAGCTCAGTGCTCTGTGATGTAGAAAACACATGCAAATAGAAACTTGACCACACATGACCTGCACTTAGAAAAAATGCAAAGTGACACAACACAACCAAAGACTGAAATGTGCTCTAAGTACTAAGAACTTTTGTTTTTGTATAACTTTCATATAGCTGCAGAAAGTTTTAGTAGAAATGTCTGGATATTTGTATTTATTACCTTTATAATGTGTTTGACAGATAGCTGTTAAAATATATTAACTTTTTAACCTGATCTCTTCTCTGATTCATTGTAATTGTTGAGCTGAACTGTCTGTAGAGAAATAAATCCTGTCCTGAACCGAATCAAAGCCTAAAACAGTAATTTACACCAATGCACTGACACTCAGTGTGTGTGTGTCAGAATATGTGTTGTCAAGATGTGGCCCGTTTTCAACACACTCACCCCAACAGGACCGCCAGCTCTGCTAACGGTTTGTGCATTTTTACTGGACCTTGTCTGATCATCATGTCGGATTTTCAAGCCCTGAAAACAGAGAATGGTTTAGATTAGATTAGATAGATTATATAGATAGAACTTAATTGATCCCTTTGGTAGGGTACCTCAGGAAAATTGTTGTCCTAGAAACAGCACAAAACCCACAGAGACAGCAACACACATCAATTAAAAAAAAAAAAAAGCAGTAGACAAGGAAACAAAGGAAACCAAGAGTTAGATAGAGACAAGAGGAACAAAAATGAAGTCAACATTTAGTTTAATGTAATGAAAGCAGCTCCTTAATGAGATGAAAATAATAATAATAAACTGCCAGTAAAGTGGTAAAAGTTGTTTTTTAAATTTCCATCCTGACTTGTTGATAACTTTGGTCACTAAAATGAGACAAAATCAGATTTTTTTCCTGACACATTCAACTAAAATTATTATTATTTTTAAAACTTAACCGTAATAAGCAGGCAGTGTAAATACAATCTTGTAGCCCTGTCATGGCGCTGATGCCTACACTAATGGCTACAGTTAAAGCTATTGTTTGAAATATACATTTATCACAGGAAAAGAATGTGCATACAAAGTTTTTATCAATCTATATGCAAATAATCAATATTTATTCAATGTGGCTTGATACATACATAAAACAGAGACAAAACAGAGGCTAATTAAAGTCACAGCACAAAAAGGAAAAGCACACTGCCTTCATAAAAGTATGTCAGCAGATATAAAAACCAAACCAACAGTGAAAACAATTCGATTCTGCTCTGGATTCTGCTCCGAGGTTGACCTCAGTTCACCCCAACGGACCAATTCAATGGTGGGCTTAAACCCTTCTAATCCCGAAACTGAGCCAAACCGTCCACTGCTGCTGTGTCAAACCTGCTGATGTGCCGCTCTGTTCGCTCGGCTTCATACCTGAAACCAAAGGGTGCTCGTCCTCGGTCCTGTCCGGGTGCCTGGGGGACGACAGACAGAGAGAGAGGAAGGGAGGTGTCAGAGACAGAATGACACCGGCCAGTGTGTCGACCTGGGACGTTATTGTGGGAAATACTATAGAGCAGCAGCTGGGCTGGACGCTGCAGAGCAGGGAGGGAGGGCAGGGGTGTGTATGCATGAGGGTGGGAGGTGAGGGGTGCATTCATCTGACCACGTCCCTCATTTACTGAAGCACATAAAAAATACACAAGTTATGTTAAGTAAGTGGGTTAAAAAATCTTGTGTGGAATGTTTCATTCATGGTCCACGTGGATGGTTGCCTATTTAATACCTAATTTCAAAACACATTTTTGGCAGTGATTAGGGGCGGCTGTGGCTCAGGTGGTAGAGCGAGCCGGTCAATGATCGGAAGGTCGGCGGTTCGATTCCGCCCTCTAACCTGTTTCATGGTTGTTGTGTCCTTAGGCAAGACACTTCACCCACCTTGCCTGGTGTGAATGCGTGTGAATGGATTGTTTGAGGTGGTGGTCGGAGGGGCCGTAGGCGCAGAATGGCAGCCACGCCTCTGTCAGTCTGCCCCAGGGCAGCTGTGGCTACAATCGTAGCTACCACCACCAGAATGAATGTGTGTGAATGAATTGACAGTGTAAAGCGTCTTTGAGTGTCTAGAAAAGTGCTATATAAATCTGATCAATTATTATTAATGGTTGGGTTTGGTCTGCAGAATGACCATCATCACTCACTAGTAATCGCAACATTACTTTCTGGCACACATTGACTACAGCTGAGGGCTTTCTCACAGCATTTTTTATCATTTAGAAAAAGTTAAATGCACAGTGCCTATTAAAAGTGTTCAACCACTTTTATCGCTTTTCAACACTGAATCAGTCTTTTTCTAAAACCAGGTTTTACCTTAAAAGACACTTCGAGGTCAAAGTGAAAACAGAAGATTTTTACAAAGTCAACAAATTAAAAATTTAACATGTAGAGAAAAAGTGTTTGCATAAGTATTCACCCACTTTGAAGTGACTCGCCTAATTCAGCACAAGCACAGCCGATTGGTGCTAGAAGTCACACAGTTCGTGAAATCGAGATCATGTGCGTGCAATGAATGTGAACTGGAAGGTCCAGCCGCTGGAGAACCCCTACTCCTGGCTGTAACTACACCTCGAAGACAAATGAACAATCCAAGCAACTCCATGAAAAGGTTACTGAAAATAATAAGTGATGGACACAACAACATTTACCAAGTTGAATACCCCTTGCATTAAACTTGAATCGATCATTAAGAAATGGAAGGAATATGGTAAATATCCCCAGAGCAGGACATCCACAAAAGCTGAGTGACCATGCAAGAAAGAAACCAGTGTGGGAGGCCACCAAGACACCTATGACCCCTCTGAAGGAGTTTCAAGCTTCAGATGGGACAGAGTCCAGTCAACGCTTTATGGGAGAATGACAAAGAGAACTGTTGAAAAAAAGCTGGAGTTCACCAAAAGGCATGTGGGAGACTCTGATGGCAACTTGGGAGAAGGTTCTTTGGTCTGACGAGACCAGTTTAGCTTTTTGGCCATCAAACTCAACACTACTTTTAGGTGACACTAAACACTACACATCATCACAAACATGCCCACTTTGAAGCACGGTGGTGGCAGCATCATGACGTGGGGACGCTTCTTTGCAGCAGGAAGAAGGTAAAACGAATCCAGCAAAGTACTGGGATATCCAGGAGGACAAACTGTGGAGACAATGACCCAAAGCATACAGCCGAAGCTACCCACTATTCACCGCTAGTAAAGCATTTGTAACGCAATTTGTCAAATATTCACAGACCAAAAAAGAGGAAAGTACAATTCAACATTAAACCTGGACAAAGAGAATCAGAAATTACACACAACAATCTATCTCGTAGAGTGTATCGATGCTTTTTCGTCTTGGCAACATCACCAAGACATGTCATTCAGTGAGTCCATCCTAAGTCTGTTGCTATACAGACAAACAACAATAAACTGAGGAAGATGTGAAACTGGATCACAGTGATCAGCTTACACTTCAGCTGGACTTAGACGAAGACACGGCTGCTGTTTAACCATATGCACTTCGAGTTGGTCATGGTGTTCCAGTTTCTTCCCAGTTTGAAAACAACAACAGCAACAGAAACCTTGACAAATGTGTCAAAGTCTACTGAAAACAGAGCCCATCATGAGGATGATGAGCTCAACTCTTTATGGTTTAACAGTCCATAATGATAGAAATGCTAAAATAGCAAAACTCATTAAGTTGGAACACATTAGTCTAGCATCACGTTTCATGATTTACTGACCAAATACAAAATCAATACTTCTACACGAGCATCCCACAGAACATTTCATCTCAGCTTCATCCCCTCAGAGGACGCAGGCTGAGGCAGAGTCCAGTCCTGAGCTGGGAGCGTTCAGCCAGAGTGTGTGTGCTGCGTAGAGCACTTGGAAAAATCTGCAGATGTTTTCCTGCTTTGTCTCCTATCACCACACGGGAAGTCAAATATTACACAACAGCCTTATCCTTGTCCTGTTGAATAATATTTGGTTAGCTGTTAACACAGATTATATACCCAGAGTGTTTAAAATAGACATTCCTGAAGCGTTCATTAAATATACAGGTCAGGCGAAACCCAGGTGACGCCGAGGCTTTTCTTGAGCTTCACTAATAAACACAGATCAGTGAAATCGTTCGCTACATTCACAAATGTACCTCACTAATCTGCTTCTCTGACATACACGGCATGGTGTCAGTGAAAGCATCAAGAGTACAATAGGCTGAATTAACACATTTCGATTATTGTTTTAACATAATTATTGTTGTGAAAATCCATGATTATATGAAGGAACTTTGTATGCGGATCATTCACAAAAGGCTTAGATAAGCATGAAAAAAGAAGAACAAGATGTAAGTTTACTAGATACCACAGCTGAAAAGAGCCATTTACAGCTATTGTAGTTTTAGTTTAAGAGGCTGCGATGTAAAGTGGCAGACGAAGAATTCAGATTCTAAAACTTGACAGCAAACAAGATGTATTTATGATACAAATTACTCCACTAAAATGATCCTCCTTGTGAGCGGCATACTATTTTTTGGGTTAACTCGCGATGAATTCATGTGGATGTAGCATTTACTGAGGTATTTTGCTGGAGGTAAATCTAGTTTTCATTACTCTTCTGCAATCTTCTGCTTGTACTGTGGGTGGCAATGGCAGTGTATTTTACTGCCAGGTTACTCAGGCCAGGTGTGCATGATCGAGGCAGAAGTTTTTTGACCGCAAAGTAGACGCAAAGTAGAGGCGATGTAGAGGTAACTGCAGATAGGGGCAGTACGTTTAATAGGCTACCTAACTGCTATATATTGCTTATTTGTGAAAACAATAAAGAAGCAAACTAACGCAAAGTGGACATCGTTGTGTGTGAGACGAGCCTGGTGTGTGCGTCAAAAATTGCAACATTATCTACCGATAGTAAGTGACAGTGGAAAGCCACTTACAGTGGTCTTTAACAGGTCATAGTATTTTATGTGCTGGTTTCATTCTGCTGCAAGGTGGAGCGGTGGTTAGCATTGTTGCCTCGCAGCTAGAAGGTCGCGTCCCGGTGAGGACACCTGGGATCTTTCTGCGTGGAGTCTCCATGTTCTCCCCGTGCAGCGTGGGTTCTCTCCGGGTTGTCCGGCTTCCTCCTACAAGGTCCAAAAACACGTTGAGGTTAATTGGTGATTGTAAATTGTCCGTAGGTGTGAATGTGAGTGTGCTTGGTTGTCTGTCTCTAAGTGTAGCCCTGTGATAGACTGGTTACCTGTCCAGGTGAACCTGCCTTCAGCCTGAGTCAGCTGGGATAGACTCCAGCCCCCCACGACCCTAGTGAGGATTAAGCGGTGTATAGATGATGGATGTTTCTAAAAGATTACGTGGTTCAAACACAATTACTGGCACGTCCTTGTTCATATATCATTCTGTTTTCATTCTATCAGTTAGACCAGTGGTTCTCACACAGCCTGCTCCTGGCATCAACGTTCTATCACACTTGAATTTGTTCTATGGCACTTATCTAGATTGTTTTCTCCTGACGAGATCCTTGCTTGTGTTGTATCTACTCTCAGATATACGTCGCTTTGGATAAAAGTGCCAAATGAAACTGTAGAATTGTAGAATTCTCAACAGAGGGGCCATGGCCCACTAGAGGGTGACATAGAGCTGTCAGGGGGGGCCTTGGGATGGCTGTGAATGTTAACAAGAATAAAACAAAAAAATATTAGAATGACAAAATAACAAGAGAAACTATCTAACTGAACAAATAGTCAATCTGTAGTGCTTCATTTGTATAGACTAGCTGCCTCGCCCAATAATAACAAATAAATAAATTGATCAAAATGCAGAGTGGGGCAGCACACACACCACTGAGGTCCACGTTGTTGGTATTTTTCCCCCGATGTGTATATAAATAAAAGTAGTGAACTACTTGGATTCTAATTACAGCACCCTGATTTTTTTCTCTACAGCTCATCTGTGCAGTTTCAAGTGCTTAAAGATTAAGTAAAGCACTTCAAACTGCTTCTGTGTATAAAAAAATACTTGACGTGTGTGACTTACCTTGTCTTTCCACAGTCATGGCCAACAGTTAACGATGCTGACAGAAGAAATGAACCGAGATCGTGGAGGACATTCAGAGGATGTTCCAGAAGAATGTGGACAAACAGAAAGTCCTGCAATTAGAAAATAAAATTAACATCAGTGCTGTCAGCTGTTGACTAATCAATCAGTCAGCCAGCCAATACATACAATATACAGAACATCACAAGTTTACTTGTTCGTAAATTGCACTCTTGATGATTGTTTCAACATTACTTTAGCGTCATAAGGTTTGATTTTGCACATTTTTGCTATTTTGTGCCAATAAAACAGTGGCTAAAATAAACTTTGATTATCATTACCGGTATCATAAAATTACAGAATCATGAAAGAAGAATCAAATTAAAAATCTGTCATTATAAAAACAAATCTTCTGTTAAGGGCAGAGGTCTGAAAGGAAAAGCTGGTAAGGATTAGGTCTTTGTTGATCACAGCACCATAGACCAACACAAACAGACACACTCTCTCCAGAAAAACCAGTTTTTTTAATCCTCATAATTCACCCATCAAAGATCTCATTGACCGCGATTTTTTGTACACCTCAAATACTTCCTTCCTGCCCAACTGTACAGACATGTATTTGAATAGCATTGTGTTTCTGTTCCGGTGCTCTGTTATTATTCTTTAGAGACTTGCACTTTTTTTTTTAATCTCATATTTTATGGTTGTGTCCTATGTTTTGTAAACCCCCTTGTAACTCCAGTATTGAAAGGTGGAGAAATAAAATGTATTATTAGAATTATTTAGAGTGAATTTTGTGTCATTATTCACTTACTTCTTCCTGGACTGTTGCTACTATTCACATGCTGAATGTCACAGCAGGAGAATCACACATTTACTAACAACATTAAGGATGACTATTATATTCAGGAGTCCAAACAAGATATGACAACGTGACAGTGAACCGGAAAGCACAAACTAAATTTAGCCATTATTAATTTTGTAATTTACGTGTGTGCTTTTCCTGCTATGACATATCGAGATGGCGTTTTGTGGATAAGCCTTCTAATGTCCTCTGTATTCTGATTAAACAATCTGTTGACAGCTTTTTCCTTCCAGAAATTCTATTTTTTAAAGAAATCTAAAGAGAAATGTCGCTGCTCCAAGTTTTCCTTGGTAGACAAAGTCAATCCTTGATGATAATAAGAACAGACAGAGGTGAATAACTATGTTTTTTTATGATTTAGGTGAACTGTAATGGTCTGTAGCTGCATCTGAAAGTATACTTCTGACGTCTACTGACTTGGCTGAGGTTACAAATTGAGATTGAAAATAAAAGCACATTTTTACAGCAGTATCACCAATACTGACAGCAGATACTTGAGTTGCTTCCTTGTCATACAAAATCTAAAAATGTTGCTGTGGCATCTGGTCACCCAAACTGGTTAGTAAGGTGTGCGAACCTAGAATTACAGAACAAGATGCCCACTGTTAGTGTTGCAGCCTGCAGTTGGAGCTTCAGCTGCAGTGCATCTGAAGGAACTCCCCTCATCCAATCAGAACGGAGCATGCATGAGTCACTTCCTCGTGTTTATTTCCTTATTTGGAAGGAAGGGGCTGTCCTAATTTAACAAGGGTGGAAAATGGTGGAACGGAGAGTCAGACGGCTACAGTAGACAGAGGGACACCAACAGTTTTATCTCTGGTGAGTAAACATCTGTCTCAGCTGTATTTTGTAATCTCTGATCTACAGGATGATTAAACTCTGTGTGGAGGCCGGGTCAGCTGGGGTGGCTGAATTACAGGAGCATGAGCAGCTGATTCATGTTTGGGTAGCTGGGAATCAGGAAATGAGAGAAACGAGCATGAAAACAAACAGCAACACATCCTGAGTTTAGGTTAAAGATGGCAGATAAAATAGCCTGCAGAGGTTAATTTAGCTGCTAAACTGCTACAATATCCTGCGGGTCACGACTTGTAACCATTTGTTTGTTTCCAGTCTTTCTTGCGTTACTACAAACCAAGACACACCTACTGTTGTCCCAGAGTTATTTTTCCAGAAGGACAACATTGAGAAGGATGATTAACGCTTCAGCTATGAGAAAGATTCACTAAAGTAGGATTTAAGTCTCTGGTCGCTCAAATTAGGAGCTGACTCCTGCATATGTAATTAGTAATACTGTATGTAATTGGCTTTATTATCATTAATATTTCATGTGTTTATGTCATAAAACATAGTTCAGTCAACAATAAATAGAGATTTAAGAATTTCTTTTAGTATAATAACAATTATTTAGGTTTTTTTTCAATTTAAATTAATTCTCAGTGTAAAGCTCTCTCCTTATCTGCAGGAATTAGTAGATAAATCATCGGCTGATTGACAAAAAAAAAGGAAAAGAAACTTCCATTTTTGAGCTAAAATGTTAAAACTGGGTGGTTTAATTTTCTTATCTTTGTATGCTGTCATATAAAATGAAATGTCTTTGGTCTACTGGTCACACAAAACAACTAAGCTTTTTACCATGTCAACATTTTTTTAAACATGCTACGGATCAAATTAACCGAATGACACTGAAAGTACAAACGTTGCCACCATCACCCCCAGCTGTTGAAGGTCTGCACACGACATATGCCTTCACTCCAGTCTGTTGTTTGTAACATTACAGTAAGACGACACCTGTTGGTATCGCCTTACACAATGTGGAGCAGCAGCTGGTAACATGTGGTGTGAACGCTCAGCAGTTAGTCTGGAGCTTGATTTTTAGGGTAGTTGAGGCAACATCTTAGACTCTCTTTGACCAGGTTCTGAGTTGAAGCTCTTGTTTAGTACATAGAGAAATGCTGTAGTTAAATGCTGAAGGTACCAAGTAGAATCTGAATTCAGCTTTACAGCATGTTAAGGTTTTTGTTTTCATCTCTCCAGCCTACAGAATCACTTTGTGTGGACTTTTACGTGGCAGAAGAAAAGTAGCAGTCATGGCTGATGCAGCAAAGATGAAAAAAACTGCAGCCAAAGTGTTGGGCTGTGTGGAGAAGGTGTCCTCCTTCGCTTCTTCCATCGACCCCATCTTTGGCATTGTCTCCTCCCTGGTCGGGGTGGCTCGCAAGGGCCTGATGGACGAGGAGGGCCACGCTCTGGACAAAGACTTCCAGGAGATCCACAGTAAGCTGGAGAGCATCTCCCAGAAGAACCAACACTGTCTCAGGAAGATCCACATCGACGAGGTGAACGAAACTTATGGCAAATACGAAGAATACATCAAGCACCAGTATGCTGCCTTCAACAGCATGGTGGCGCAGATGAAGAAAGATCCAGACAACACCCAGCGCCACATGGAGACCTTTGAGAAGATTTATGAGAGAGACAAGTCTGAACTGAGCCTGGATGTGTACTACCGTGGTGTGATGGGGGCGAGCACGGTGTTTGGAAAACCTCTGCTGAAGGTGTACCTGGACCACTGCGATGGTGACCGTGAAATCATGGAGCGGCGCTGTTCCCACATCACCCACCTGTTCCACATGGGCCTCATCGCGCTCATGGCCTACACAGCTGTTACAGAGGACGACGAAGACGAAGTGCGTGACAAGTGGGCTGGCAGGGTGGAAGACATCCAGCAGAAGATGCAGGAGGTGCTCAGTCAGTGCAAAGATAAATCGTCCTGAACATGGACCCGCAGAGAGAGAAAACGTCCTCTGGGTTCGCTGGAAACAAGACAGAGAACTATCTGTTACTCTCAAAAGACAAATTATGTTATAGTATAAAAATATATATGAAACCAAAGCCATGTTTTGATTTGTGCACTTGAGCTGCGCCTGATGTTCGTACTGCAGCATTTTACTTCTTGTTTTGACAATGTATGTTATTTTCAAAGTGACCACTAGAACTTTCAGCTGCTTTGTCACGTGTCAATAAATGCTGAAGTTTTGTACAATCGCTGCGATTAAACATGTAAATTATCCCTTTGTCAAGTTGTACATTTGTGAAATTCATTTTTTTTGCAAGCAGTTATGCACTTCACAGATATCTGCTACACTACAGGCTTCAGGTCTACCCTGAAAAGAAATAATCCATCCATTATCTATACAAGGCTTAATCCTCACCAGGGTCGTGGGGGGCTGGAGTCTATCCCAGCTGACTCAGGGTGAAGGCAGGTTCACCTGGACAGGTAACCAGTCTATCACAGGGCTACACTTAGAGACAGACAACCAAGCACACTCACATTCACACCTACGGACAATTTAGAATCACCAATTAACCTCAACGTGTTTCTGGACTGTGGGAGGAAGCCGGAGAACCTGGAGAGAACCCACGCTGCACGGAGAGAACACAGAGACTCCTCATAGAAAGATCCCAGGTGTCCTCACCAGGACACGAACCGCTGCGAGGCAACAATGCTAACTACTGAGCCACCTTGCAGCCCCTGTATACATAGAAGGTCTATGATTAGTATCGCTTGAAATTATGCCCAAAAGGTTCATGTCTTAATTTAAATTGATATAATACTTAAACTCAATACAGCACACACAAACTCCTATTCTAGGGCTCTTAATATATTTGTTGAATATAGTTAAAGCTTAATAAAACTGAAAGTTCATATTAGCAGCTAAACAATGAACTTGAGTTCATAAAATAAGACGTCCAATTATTAGATTGCTTTTTTTCATTGTTGAATACAGCTTTATTACAGACTAGACAGAAACACGTCTGTCAACAAATAATACTATATGATATCTCTATGGTGTACAATAATACTTTACAAGCATCTACAGACAATTCTGTTATGCAAATAGTTCAAGAGGTTAGGCAGAACAATTCTTCTCACCTTCAACCACAAAGAGGTGGGTAAGCAGTTTTATAGTTCTGACACTATGACAGGATGTTTGAGGGTAAACAGACAAAGGTTTGACTACCGGTTAGAGGTCACACCAAGACAATGAAGTACTCAACTGTGAGAATAATATATACAACATATGGTGCCAATAAAGACATGAAGTAAGCTGATTAGTGCTAAATTTAAAAGTGTATTATACAATTAGTCAGTTGAAATTATACTGAACTAAAGTATAAATGTAGAATGTGATATTAGATCAAATTATATCCATTCTTTAGGGGAATAAGTATTTGTTTTTCCAACACACAGCATCATACCACTGAACAGACATTACGAAACAACCAGGAACACGTCAGATTGGAAATGATGGGTCGAGAGTTTGGACATGGACCAGAAATCACTCGTCAGTAGCGAGTCACACATCTACAGTTGATGCAGTTGTTGATGCTGCTTGTGGAATGTTGTCCCACTCTTCCTGAAGGGTTTGGCAGCATTTTGGGGGACAGATCATGTCGTTCGACTTGTCCATCCAGAGCATCATGTGGTGCATTGTCTGTTGTACCACGCTGTCTGAAACCATTTCGTAGATAACGAATGGTGGAGTTGTGGACATTCCTGTGTCTGGCTCTGGCTTTAACTAATGTGCCAACATGCAGCATGCAAACAGCCTATTCTCGTTTTTTTCCCCTTGTCATCTGTGTCACCACATTATTTGAAGAAAGCTGTATTTTCAGGTGGCTTTTTATATACAATGGTCAAAGGAGTGTCTGAGTATTGGTCACAGTTTCTGATCATTGTCCTTCACAGCCACACCTGACGAGGTGTGAATTAACTCAATGATTGAGAATTTGTCACAGCTCAAAAACTTTTTGTGCACAACTGGCTGACTGTAACCCCTTTCTAACCATAAAACTAGACATTTAAATGTTTTCTTTAAGCCAGGAAAGAAGACTATTTGCATGCTACACTTATAGTTTTGCTCAGTGTAACTGTCATATTCATAATGCAAATAATCATTAATTAAAGCACTGAAGCTGATACAGTATGTAAAAGTGAAATGCACTGCTTCCAACAGTGAGACAATTTAGGAAGTATGCTTATTTACTTTGTGGCAAAGTGTTACACTAGAAAATTGATCAACTCTAATATTTATTTATTTATTTTTTTGTTAGGCTGTGACCTTATTAGCTGCTGTAAAGATGACACCAAACGAAATGCCGTTGTATCTCTTGTACAATGACAATAAAACTTCTTCTTCTTATTATTAGTCCATTAATGATTAGTAAAGGTGTAGCGAGTTAGCTTAGCTTAGCGAGTAGAAATGGGGAAAACAGCTGGCCTGGCTCTAAACAAGGGTTACAAAATCAGTTTAGGAGCACATTAAAAATAAGTAGTTACCCCCCTTTATTCTTTTTTGCTTAACACTCACAAAAACAAGGCGCAAAGAGGAAAAATTGTAGTTTTACCAAAGGGTGTGTGCTTGTTTAGTGGCCTGAAGGAGTGGCTTCCCTCGGTTTGCTTTGGTTGCCTGGCAACTGTGCCAACCTAAGTAGCTAGTAGCTTTAGCTTTGTGTTTCACTCGCTTGAAAATGTAAGAAGTGTAAAAAAAAAACAAACAAACACAAAAATCAGTAAAGAATTTATTAGCCTGCACCTAAATATCCCTGTAATTGTAATTTATGATGTGATTTTTATTTTTTTTTTTACAATATTCCCAAAAGACTTTTACGCAACAAAACGGTTGCTAATTTTGTGCTAATACTTGCTAAAATGGGTTTTAGCGAGGAGTACGGTGTATACAGAAGGAGCTGCTTCAACCTGAGAGCCGGTGGGACAATACTCCATCCTGCCGCACCGAGTCCTCTTCACCAGCAGAGTCCTCTGTCGTCCAACCGGAGCTGCTGCTGCTGCAATGAAACGTGATTCCTCTGTTTGTCTTTGCAGCCCTGCCCCGAGTTAAAGGCCTACGACTACTTTAACCCAAATATCTGCTCTGGAAGCGAACCCGGAGAAGCCTCCTGGCTTCGGATCGCCGTTTTACCTCCGTTCAGACTACCGGAGAGCCGACGGGAGCTGCGTTTGGTCTGTTTGAGTCGCAGCCGTGTCGCTTTCGGTAAGTTTCTGCTGCCCGAAGAGCGGAAAAGCGCCTTTGGTGACTGTAGCATCCAGGCTACTGCTGCTGATTCAGGGCAAAAAAGTTGACCGTGTTTGTTGTGGACGACAGAATATGTCAATACGGGGCTGTTTGGGCAGCACAGGGTGTTGTTTAAAACACAGTATGTGGAAGAGTTTGTGTAGTTAGTGTTATAAGACAGCGGAGTCTGGTTTCCGGGGCGTGACCTTCCTTTGAACTCAACAAGTTGATTTCTGAACTGTGTTATTGATATTTATCACCGTGTGCTGTTTTAATCCTATTTTATTTAGTTTGTATACAACACAAGAGTGGATAAAGAAACAGAGCTGGTCCCCAAACAGCAGAAAAAAGCTGCAAAATGCTTTATTGTGAAGCATGTAGGAGGCCTGGTGTGACTGTAAAATTGTACAACACTGAATATTACAGTTGGTTTATTTTACTTTGGGCATTTTACTTGAGAGTTTATAAATATAATGCACTATATTTGTAATGCAATAAAACCATATGCACCTTGCATGTTAATTGCAGGTTCATAACGGCTGCAATACAGATCAGTGATGCATTTGTTTTCAGGTTGTTTGACCCTGAAAACCAACGGAAATGCAAAAATGAGCCCCTGTGTCCATAAGAACCACACTGATTACATGTTAGTCAGAAAGCAGGAAGACTCAAGACTTGGTTTGGATTAACTTAAATGTTGCATGAAGGATTGAAAGATAGTCTTTGATAGTATTTTGTCAATAAATAAAGCTTTTGTTTTGCCACTTTCAATTTCAGTTTTAATTAGATACAAGTCATTCTTTCACAGTCGCGTTCATGTTTCGCTCACCGGCGTTCTTCTGTTCCAGGCATGCCTCTCCACAGCATCTGGCCCCTGTGTAGGATGTTTTCTCAGGTCTGAGAAAAAGGCGGCGCGATGGGAAACGAGGACAGCCTTGAAGATGTGTTTGTTGCTGTCATTCGTCCAAAGAGTCAAGTCAGCCTGAGCTCCAAGGAATACAGAGCCAAAGCCTATGAGGTGAGTCGAGAATCAGTTAGGAACAACAGCAAAGGAACAGGGAATAAAATAAGGAAGTACAAAAACTGAAAACATAAAAACTGCTCTTCATGTGCTAAAACTGCATAGGTGTGGACATAATTATTGTTAGTTTTGGATCATTGTTGCAGCTGTGTGTATGAACAAGCCACAGATTTTACTGAATCTTGACTATCCACTCAGGTTAATTACAAACTGAGATTCACTGAATTGCAATTTTCAGCAGACAAAATCTTAACTGAAATGAGAACTAACCAGAGCAACCAACCACTAGTCTGGAGTTTTGAACTTACTGTCTGTTTTCTTGTTTCCTCGGGTGCCTGTAAAGATCCTACTGAAAGAAGTGCCTTTGGAGGGGAAGGAGAAGAAAAGAAAGAAAGTCCTTCTGGCGACAAAGATCAAAACAGGAGGAGACAAATCCAAATCCATATTGGATTATGTTGACGAAACGATCCGACCGATCTCCAATAACCAAGGCTTCATTGGTGAGGCTTTTTGCACATGACTATGAGTTGTTGATCATATCAGACTGCTTCATTTGAACTGTTTTCAGAAGGTTCAGAGCCACTGATCTAAACACAGATTTGGTTTGCAGGTAAGCGTGTGGTGCATATGAAGAAATTTACTCTTGAAGGTGACAATGAAGGAAAAGAAGCTTCACTTTTTGTTGTGCCAGTCAGTGTTAAAGGTGAGCAAATAATGACCCCACAGGTTTTGTAAAGTTGAGTTTAAGTTGTACATACAGTAGAGTAACAAGTCCTTCTGAACAGACAACAGCAAGCCTGTCCATAGTCCTGGGTGCCCCAACTTCTACTGCTTCCAGGACATCATGAGAGTGTGCAGTGAGACCAGCACTCACTTCTGCTCCATCACCTCCAGGATGCTGCTGGCCTTAGACAAGTGAGGGCTTATCTGTAATCCAAATGATCTTCTCTTTCCCAACACTGGGTGACTCTTTTGGTTAAATGGGCTTCATCTTGGCCTCTGTCACCTCCACAGATGGTTAGCAGAGCAGCACACCGTGCCTCACGCCATCCCGGCTCTGTTCAGGCCGGCGCCTGTGGAGCGGGTGAAGACCAACGTCAGCAACCCGGCCTACAGCAGCGAGGGCAAACTGAGCGACGAGGGGCTGCACATGGGATACACGGCTCTGGAGATCAAGAGCAAGATGATGTCCTTGGAGAAGGCAGACATGTGCATCCTGAATCCACTCTATGGCTCTGATCTGCAGTATACCAACCGGGTGAGAGACCTCACCATAAGACTGCCTATATGAAGAAGTATTTGTGTAAAAACATCTTCAGGTGTCGTTTTTTTTTTTTTTTTTTACCAAAAGAGACTTGACAGATGTAAAAACCAACATTCAGAACCACATTAACTTCTCTTGCACCTAAAGTAAAATGACCTTCCTCCTGTTTTGTTTGCAGGTAGACAAAGTTATCATCAACCCGTACTTTGGCCTCGGAGCACCAGACTACTCCAAGATCCAGATCCCCAAGAGGGAGAAATGGCAACATGGCCCCAACTGTGTGGCAGAAGACAAGTGAGGGCTTATTATTCTAACACGAACCATTTCTTTTACTCTTTGTGTTTAATTTCTTCCCGGATGCTCATGCTCAACCACTCCTTTCCATCTTTACCTTTACACCTCATAAAACTGCCTTGAAACTGCTCAGCACAAACTCCTGTCTCCACAGGGAGCGTCAGTGGGTGGACGACTTCCCTCTCCATCGCAGTGCCTGTGAAGGAGACACCGAGCTGCTCTCCAAGCTTCTGGACAGCGGTTTCTCAGTGAAGCAGCTGGACAGCGACCACTGGTCTCCCATCCACTATTCCTGCTGGTGAGTCTGACGCTCTTCTCGACGTCCGAGAAGCTTTGAAGTGTCCAGAAGTTGTTATTTTCTTGAACTTTACAACAGTTAAGTGTGACATCTGTGTGGTTGCATCCAGGCACGGTAAAGTAGAGGCGACCAAGCTGCTGCTGGAGAAAGGTAACTGTAATCCAAACCTGCTGAACGGCCAGCTCAGCTCCCCTCTGCACTTTGCAGCCAGAGGAGGCCACGCAGAGATCGTGCAGCTCCTGCTGCAGCATCCAGAGATCGACCGGGTACGAAATACTTTGCTTTTTACATTTGTTTTTTTTTCTGCTATTACATTGTGACTTTTAAAAATGTTGCTGCAGCTACACATGCTAACTTTCAATGGGAATAATGTGTTTCTGTTTTGGTTTGTGATACCATTAAAACATTAAAATGTAATTTGCCAGATGAAAATAAACCAAACAACATTATATTTACTGTAGACATATGGAAACACTGGTAAACATAGCAACATGATTTTCTGTTCGTTGTTTTTTGTGTAAATTTGCTACATGGTTTTAGCTAAATGTGTTCTTTTATTCAGTAAAGTACACAGAGATGGAGATGTTTTTATGTTTGTTAAACAGAACTGCGTGACACCTACGATTGGAGACACATGATATTAGAATTTTGCTAATATCTGATATCCCCATATCTTCCAGTTTGATACTAATAAATGCACATATTCCTTCTAGCTAACTCCAGAGAACAACAGGTCTCTCTGTTGTGGCATTACGTTATTATTATGCTTAGTCTTATTGTGACGCCCCACAAGCAGATGCAGACATAAAATGCAGCTTCTCAAATGTATCTGTTCACTCAGCAGTATAAGAAAACTACATTAGACATAAAACATTACATATGTCTTCATGTGACTGTAAACTTTTAGCCCGACAGACGTATCTGCCCATCGATGTTTATTCCGGCCTGATGCCGATATTTCACTTTGAAGCCTTTTTCGCCTGATGCTTGACAGACATCATTGTGCATCCTTAAATATTATCATACATTTGGCTCATCTAGTGTCGATTTAATGCTGATAATTTAAAGCTGGAGTTAAAGTGGTAGATATCAATCAGTAAATTCTCTTTTTCAACAACAGCACATAGAAGACCAGCAGAAGCGATCGCCGCTACAAGTGTGCGAGGAGAACAAACAGAACGAGTGGGAGGAGACGGTGAAACTTCTGCAGCAAGCCAACAGCAAACCAGTGAGTCACGTAGTTACTGTGTTTGTTGTTATTAACTGTACTGGAAACCAGATCGCGATGGAAATGATTCGAATTAGAGAACAGACCAACGTCACAGTGACATATATCATCATAGGCCACACCAAAGGAGGGTGGTCATGCAGTGACTGGTCCTAGCTTTTCAATCTTTCCATGATTTCTACATGCGGAAGACATTTTTCAGGATGCTGTTTACTACCAAGATTAAGTTTGATTCTGTGTTTCAACACACTCAAACCCTTAAGTACACTTAAGTATACATACGTGTCTATACGTGCAGGTTTTTTTTTTGCTGGCTGAACAGGAGATGCAAGTTGTTGTGTCTTAGCTGTTTATTTCTCGATTTCTAAAGAACATATTTGTATAAAAGAGTACAATACAGCTTATGATTATAGCTATTATCCTGGTCTATGAGGAAAAAAAGAGTAAGAGAACAAAAGAACAGAAGAGCTTGCGGTGAATACAAAGCAAGTGACACTGGTTTTGAAATCGAATGAATAATTCTGTGGCAGTTAAGGGTCACTAGATGGTGCTGTTTCCTCAAATATAGTCAGACGTTAATAGTAAAGGTGTTGTTTCTCTGACGTGAACGTGTGTTCCACAGTATGAGAAGGTGCGTATCTACCGCATGGACGGCTCATATCGCTCTGTGGAGCTGAAACACGGCAACAACACGACTGTGCAGCAGATCATGGAGGGAATGCGTCTTTCTCAGGACACCCAGCAGTACTTCACCATCTGGATCTGCTCAGAGAACCTCCGTGAGTCCACACGGTTGCTAACACCTGTTGTTTTATATCAGTTTGTTTTTGATTCAGTGATTCTACTACAAAAAGATTAAATATCAGAGACGCATCCTTCAACCTCAAAACTTCTTGATGATGTGCGCAATTTGCTTTTTATACTGTACATTATCAGTTCAAGATTGCAGGAAGATTTGTGTGTGTTTTGTGTGTCAGACCTGCAGTTGAAGCCGTACCACAAGCCCCTGCAGCACCTGCGCATCTGGACGGAGATCGTGACGGACCTGACGGTGCTGGATCCTCAAAGGGAGACACCTCAGCTCTTCCTCCGCAGGGACGTCCGGCTGCCTCTCGAAATTGAGAAAAAGGTAGCTCACATGTCCAAGAAGCTTTCTGTTTACAACCTCAGAACATACGCTGACAGATTTCGACAATGCATCCTCACCCTGATACTTCATGTTTTGTCTCAGGTGGAGGATCCACTTGCCATCCTGATCCTGTTCGACGAGGCCCGTCACTGCCTCCTCAAGGGCTTCTTTCCTGCTCCAGACAGCAAGCTGATCACACTGGCCAGCCTCCTCCTGCAAATCATCTACGGCAACTACGAGAGCAAGAAGCACAAGCAAGGGTTCCTCAAGTAAGACTGTTTTCATACATGTTTGTTTAAATATCAAACACCACACTGGAAGATGTAATGAAATAAACCTTTTTCCATACACTCTTGTATGTCAGGCGCAAATACTTTTGACATTATTGCTACAGAAATGTTTGATTAGTTAAATGAAAATGTTCCTCTGTGTTTTCTTTCAACAGTGAGGAAAACCTCAAATCAATAGTGCCGATATCTAAGGTGAAAAGCAAAGCGTACCACTGGACCAACAGGATTCTTCATGAATACAAAGTACGCTTCTGTTTATTATAAAATAGTTTATCGTACAGTCCCATTGCTCCCTGACGTCACTCAAGGCCTGCCTGTCCTGCACGTTCTCCCCGACAGGCCCTGAGCACCAGTGAGGGGGTGAGCAAAGAGATGCATCACCTGCAGCGACTCTTCCTGCAGAACTGCTGGGACATCCCGACCTACGGAGCAGCGTTTTTCACCGGCCAGGTCTACACCAAGGCCAGCGCTAGTAACCACAAAGTCATCCGTGTCTACGTCGGGGTCAACACGAAGGGGCTGCACCTCATGAACATGGAGACCAAGGTTGAGATCTGTTTATTGTGTTTTAAACTTTTGCTGGATGCCAAATTTTCCATTTGATCTGTAAATACAAAGCTACGAGTTTAATTTTGTGTGTTATTTGAACACGTGGTTTCTCTTTTCTGCATGCATGTGTGCTAATGTCTGAAGCGTCTCTCTTGCAGGTCCTGCTCATCAGTTTAGAGTACGGCACATTCATGTGGCAGCTGGGACACGCTGATCAGTACTTCCAAATACACAGCGGTGACAATAAAATGAACTTCATTGTGCACACAAAACAGGTAACTGCTCCAAATTGTCACAAATAATCCAGGAAACCACTGACAAAGCTTTTTAACAGGGGGTTCAGCTAAAACTGCAGTTAATAATCTCTCACTGTTTCTTTCCTCACAGGCTGGCCTTATTGTGAAGCTTTTAATGAAACTGAGCGGACAGATGACTCCAAACGACAAAGGCACAACAGACAAATATGCATATGGCTGAGAACTGTTGAAGAAACCACAGCTGCCAAAGATCTCCGACTCTTCGTACTGACCATCACCTGACTGCAATAACTCTGGACGGAGAGTTGGCCTCTCCACAAACGCCTCATTTTGTTAAACAGCCTTAGTGAGATCTTTCACGACTTTACATTGTGCATTTTGATGAGTCACACATTTTGGCTGCGTGTAAATATGTTTATTATTTAATGTTTGTTTTATTAAACGGATTGATGTATGAACGAGGACGTGCCGGTAATTGTGTTTGAACTGCGTAATCTTTTAGAAACAATATGATTAAAAAGGTTATTTTAGAGGAATTCTTTCAGCAGAATATTTAGTTAAGGGAAAGTTATTATGACCGGTTGAGGGAAATAGTGAGGGATGATGTGGATAATTGCTGTGTCTGTACAGAAATGACTATAAAGTACATTTACAATTAAAATGAAATATTTTAGTGATAGAGGATGCAACCACGAGGGCTGAACAAAAAAAAAAAACCCAAACAAAACCATTAAGGCAAGTATTTTAGCAGATATTGTGATTGCAATGCATGCAATGAGTTTCGTGGGAATGGGCATTTATTTATTTTCTTTTCATTGAAAAATATATTTAAAATTTTGATGTGATTTTTGCTGCAATCTGCACTAAATGTGCATGGTCCCTTATGTTTGGAGAATATGATTCACAGCCAGGAGCATCTTTCAGTTGGTATTTTAAATGGTATGTAGTGACACAGTTTAATGATAAAAAAAAACTCCTGAAATTTGAATATTGCACACGTCTTTAATGGGATTTCAATATTTCAGCTTATCGTTCACCTCTCCAACCATGTGGCAAGGTGGTTAATGCTGGAAATTACGTGAATTTTGGGTATTTTAATGGCACTAAATAGAAATAAAGATATCATAGAAATATTAGTGGCCTTGCAGTAGTACCATATAAAAGAATTTGGTGCCTATACTTTATGTATTTAGAGTAGAATATAGAATATACCATGAGGTTTAAAAGATTACTAATGAAGTAAAACTAAATTTATATCCCAATTAATGGTGCCTACTTTATATGCTGGGTTCACTTTTGAATTAATTATTTATTTATTTATTTTTACAAATTCTAAACTTATATTTTATGCTTTTGTTAAAACTAAATTGTTGCTGTTGCAGTTAAATTTATCACTAAATATGTGCATCTCAGTTGTTAATTTATTGGAGTATTTAGCAGGTGCGTCATTATTATTGATTAGCTTGAACCTGAGGACGAGCTAATTTACAATAAAAACGTCTTGGCGCTCGGGAATATTTCGTTACCTCTTTGGGACAGTGGAGATAATTTGTACCCACACGGGTTGAAGAGTTCAAACCGAAAGGAGGACGTGCGAATTCAAGCAAAAACTAATCTGGAGAGTAAAAACCTTATCGACAGTTGTTAAATCGATGCTGTATCGGCCATGTTGCGGTGACATCATATAGCAAGACATCGGTTCAGGTACTGGCAGCCAATCAGAGCGGCCCGTCTTTGACAGACACGCCGCCGGCAGCCAATCAGAAGCCAGCGTTGGTCAGGCGGGGGCAGGACCAGGGTTGGCAGGTAGTGATGATGGGGAAATATTACCAACTGTCCCCTAACATGAACTTCACAGCTACTGGAAGCTGATCGGCTGCACTTACTCTGCCTTTCACATCGGGGAGTGTGTTTTTTTGGGGGCCTAAAAATGCACTTTTACCAAATAGGCAGTAAGCTGCTGGGGGACACGGTGGGCAGGATGAACGACAACCTGACCTCAGTGGTGCTGGCAGCCTCACTCATCACACTGACTCTGGCTTATGTCTCCAAGCTGCTGCTCAGACAGGCACCTGACAAGGACCAGGTAAGTGTGATCAAGATTGGATATTCAGAGTCAGCTAGCATTCATTGTTATTCATGCTGTCTTTGTGTTTCTTCTCCCAGAAAACTCCACCTTACATCCCCTCCAGCATCCCCTTCCTTGGACATGCCATTGCATTTGGAAAGAGCCCCATTGAGTTTCTTGAAAATGCCTACGACAAAGTAAGTCTGAAGCTGTCTGAACTTCAAATTCAAGCAGAAATGGCATAATTATTATTACTAGCTCCTGATTCACGCATATGAATAAGAATGAATGAGTGACAGAACTCACTTTTAGTCAGTTTGTGGAAGTTTTGCAGAGTAGCTGTAACAATCCACTAATTTAAAGAGTTGTGCAGCTTTGGATCCCCCTGCACGTGACTAAAAAAGCTTTGCCGAGTAGCTGTTGCAGTCCGCTAATTTACAAAGTGTTGCTCTGACCTGCAAAATCATTTAGCACTGGATAAGATAAGCCTTTAGTAAATTCACATTCTGGAAATTTGCAGTGTTACAGCAGCAACAGGAATTGTGCAAAAATCTTGGGACATGCGCAGAAAAATAAACATAAACAAGAAATATGCACAAGTGCTGTTGATTCATCAAATGTGATGTTCAGATTGTTTGAACGTTGCAAAATATTGCTCGATTCTGGTTCTCAAATATGAATATTTGCTGTTTTTCTCAGAGTTTTATGATAATAAACTAAACTTTACTGGATTTATAACTCGAGGAAATGCCAAATTGAATATATAGATGTAACGAAATGGATTTATTGCAAAAATAGTCTCATGTTAGTTGCACTCATGCACAGCAAACAGCGTACTAGGAGGAAGTTTGCTCCCAGGTTCTGTTGCTGACGCACCTCCTGACCTCTCCACTGATGTTAAGGATTATGTAAAGATCTTAGTGCCTAATCTTATTGGATTGTGAACCATTTGAACACTTTACTTAAAGGTATGATAGGAAAAATAATCCACTAATTCA